TCATCATCATCCTCAAAGACAGCAACATCAGTGTTGCCACTTATGCTTCACTGCCTTCTATAGTGCGCTGTCATTCTCGGTGGCATCGTCGACCGTGTCAAAAGTCACGGGTAGTTGCTTCATGGTCTTCCACATCGCAGCACGGACTTCCGGTTGTACAACAACGGTTACTTTAGACAGTGGTTCTGACTGCTTTTGTCTGCCTCGTGACCTCCGAGTGTGGCTGCGTCCTCGACTTGCTTTTCGCTTCCGGCACTGGCTTTCCTTGTGCCCGTGTCGATTGCACACTTAAATTTTTTTTCTTTTTATAGAGAGAATCACACAAAATGCTATTCGCCGCATTGCCGGTATGCCAGTGAGGGGCTTCGCTCTGTATGAATTTACCGTCACTGGAGGTCGCCTAGAATTCGTCTTGGCAATACTGAAGGTCAGGGTTGGATAATTGTCTCTCCAACTTGGCCGTGTTGTTTGAGATACAAGAGACGCTGGCAGTCGTGAGCGATGGACTGCAGCGTTACCTCGGGAGACTGTTCAATAGCCGCACTCTGATAACACTGAGTGCGACTGAAGGCCACGTGTAAGAATAAGACACTTGAACAGGTCTTCCATCATGGTGGATAGATTGAATTGTTTACATTCAGGATTGATTTTACCAGTATAGAGGACATATTCTCCATATTCCTTTTTCTCTAGTTTCATACATTGACAGCGAATATTAAGTAAGGAGGAACGCTCACCGAAAGCTGTTGTTTTATCAAAACTGACATCTTGAGCGTACTTTGGCTGTTCCGCTGTGCCAGGTAGAACAATAAACGCGCTCTCCAGGCATCGTCTTTGTATCTCATTTCGACTGTGAAAATATTTTCGTATATCTATATATACGTATATATGCGCGTATCTTCTGAACCATGGATAGGTCATAATGGAACTCCGTGTTGTTGGCTATCGAGTCGACTGAGTGTTCGTCTTTAGCGGAATTTGGTGGTTGAATTTTGAGTCGCTGCTTCAAAGTTTCCACCAAACGCAATTGCGCCTCTTCAAACTGATGCAGCCGAATTTCCTTCAACGCTTCAACAGCTGTCAACTTGGTTTCGTGGGTTTGGGCTTCGCCAATCTGTGATATCTGGCTGCCCTTCCCGCTCCATTTCTTAGTACCGGAAGAACAGACTCGCCGACAAGAAACACAACAGCTTTGTTGTGAACAAGCGATTGAGTGCGAGAAGTACAATGGCTTCGCGCTATGTATTTAGGGAAAACTGTCGGACCTTGATCCAAGATTGTCTCGCACTGTCTGATCCAAGGATGTCTGATCGGCATTCAGTGGAGTTGAGGGTCTGAGTAGGCTTCGGATATTTTGGGATAATCTTCAGGAATCTGGCCTTCCTGACATCCTCCCACCGGATTCAAATACAGTAACCAGCTTAGCTGACTAGACTATTGGAACCCTGGTGGCCCGCTCCCGCTGGTCCGTGGTTCGAACCCAACCTCTCCATCTGGACTGCTGGACCTGGTAGTGTCCGATCCCCCGCGCCCCTTTCCGTTGGCATGGTAACTGGGTACCGACAAGGTCCTGCGGCTGAATGATTTTCTAAGGTCCCATATTCCCAGTCCACGTTTCTGTCGAAGGCTGACGACCCCTATTGCACGCAACTGAGTGGTTGTTCGAAGTATCCTGCTTAACGATCCAAACGTTCTTTGCTGAATATCAGGAAGTCATTGTGATCCTTGATGGCTTCACTGACAAGAGGTTTCCTAGGACCTGTCGAATGAATAAAACGGGACGCTCTGCAGACATTTTCAGAACTTTTAGCTTCTTTGGTCTTCTTAATCTACCAAGCTTCTGTTTTGCGCACTCAGTTTTACCTCGCGTCGGATCATGCGTCGAGTTGGGTTGTAGGTGAAACCAACACAGTCACGGTCCCATTAAAGATCCAATGGTTGGAAACGGCTGACTGGGTTGTATCTTAGATGTGGGTCCCAGCATCACTTACGGTCTTGGATATCTGGCTCCAATGCTGGTACTATTTGATATCGGATCATCAGACAAGCATAGGAGAGGTAGGCTATGGTAGGTTTGTCGGAATTTCGGGCTTCTTAATAGCCACTAGATGTGTTTTGCTTAGACCTGAAAAGTTGCGACGGACAAGTGCATGATCGGAGTCCATACACTTGTTCCAGAAAGAGCGTCAGGCAGTGTTCTGTCCTCGCCACCCGTAGCTATCGGCTGTGGTCTGTTTGGATTCTGTGCTGGTTCGTTCGCGGACATCACATAGACGATTTTCGCTGTTCCAGAAATCGGTACTGTGAAGGAACGGTTTGTGATCGGTGTACATCCGCCACAGGCGCTCTCCGTTGTCCTTACGTGTAGTGTCTGACCCAGCGCAACCACCCATTTGGGTCTCAGCAGCGGTAAGCGTACCTACATGAGCGTTCATTTCATCAGCGACCACAGCGATGTCTGAGCTTGTAGTCTGTTGTGAAAGAGCCCCTCACTCTTCATGGAACCTGCGTTTAGCACAGACATAGGTACGCTCCATCGGGACGCAAGATGACGCAGTTAACAGGGAACGATGGACCTGTCTTGAGATTTTCGAAAGAGTTTGGTGACAATCGGTAGATTTATTGCTGGGCAACGTTTCACTTTTGACACAAAAGCCTGAGGTTCTTTTTCAGACATTGCCAAACAAATCGCACAAAGCCGACTATTAACGGGTATCCATACAGCTTGTAGCATCTTTGAACGGAGGCCTGCCTGCAAGAATGGGCGAATTCGAAGACTCATCTAGCGGGCTGCAGCTACCAGGGATGTCCGACAAGGCAGTTCACTAAAGCATCCGACACCACGAGGACAAGCCTCACCATCCATCCTGACCGACCACAATAAATAGTGGGAGCACACAATCGTTAATTTGGAACTGGCGACAGATCTGTTATTTACACTCGTCTAACCCCTTTCCCGGCAATTCTTTACCACTCTTTCTACACAACAACGTGGACCGACTGATTTCTTATTCAAACGCCCGGTGACAAAATCACGAGTCCCAGCGGTCGCAGCTGCGTCGACCTACTAGACTTCTTGTGAGGTACCTACGAAAATAGAAATAGCGTTACTCATCTCGAGAATGAAACAACTGACAGGCGACAGTGAAAACCGCGTTGCACCGGAAGTCTACAAAACTTGTGCCGCATGAATCAGAAGTTTGACTTACATGCTTCTTTGTGAGACTTGGGTGGAAGCAGAGTGTTCGAAGGGTAGAATTCGGTTATCACGTTTGTTCTACACAAGGGCAGTAAAAACATGTGCGAAAACTATCTCGGGGTAGATCTCGTAGGGAAATTCTTCGCTAGTCCTCTGCTCAAGTTATCACCAGTCCTACCTAAACTCCACTGTCCCTCATCTGTTCGTGTCTTTTGGCACTACTAATCTACTGAATGGGAAAACGTACGACACACCTGTTATAAAGGTTGTTCAACTTCTGTTGAGGATCCCACGAGTGCGTTTAGTGACTGGATTCATTCTCCTTTTTTCAAACCTAGGTAACCCCCATCCCCTGAATAGTGGAACATGTAAACACGCATTTTTGTCCCCTTAATCTCTTCCGGCACCGTTAATGCATGCAATCTCTGTGCTGTCATCGTCCACGAGGATAAGCGTCAACTATCCAGCGCATCTGCTGAAAGTCGGTACTTGCAAAATCTTGCAAGCGCATGCAGTCCCAATTCTCGTCTTCCATCCTTTTCTCTTGTTTGAAAGTTCGATATGGTCTCTAATTCTTTTCCATAAAGGGATACAATTGTTCGAGGTTTGCCTCAATAGCTAGTTCCCAGACATTGTTCCGACTTATCCTGCAGCTCCGAACGTCTTCTTACCACTTCGTCTATGGCTGCTCGCCAATGCCCATTGTCCCTAAACCTCTAAACCTTCTGGTCTGGATAGTACCCTTCTTACTTTGTTCCCTAAATGAGGTCCAGAACTTGTTCCAATCATATCTCGTTTCCTTTACTGTTCTCTCTTTTGCGACTTAGTCCCTTCTGCTTGGAAATGCTCTTACGTACTCCTTGTTCCAAATATGCCCTCCATCTGATATGAACAACTACCACCCCATCTCTGTGACCTATATTTTGGACAGAGTCCTGTAGTCAATGTTGGTTAAACAATTTTTGCTTGATCTGGAAAATAAGACTCCTGAGTCACCACCACTGTGGGTTCGGCTGCTGGTCTACCAGTAGCTCTAATTTCATGAATCTTCCCCCTACTTCGACCACTAGTTCGAGATTCCTTTTTCTACGGAATACTACTGTCCCACTCGGGTGGCACTCTTTTTATATCTTCCTCCAGATAGCCGTGAACGGAAAGCCGATTCCGGTAGAGTGCAGCCTTCTTTCCACCTTCGGAAGATTGCACTTCTCTCGTTACTTTATCGCCGTCCCGCTACCAGAATCATTGGGCTGCTTTAGAGGCGGTGGTAACCTAACTAGGTGACCTAGCTTTTACACGGTTGATCGAGACTTGGAACTATAATTCTTATAGCAGACAAAATTTATACTGCGAAAATGTATTTCCTCATGTGTGAGCCTCATGATTATTCTTTCCCCATTCATTTACTTTGCAATGCTGCCAGCTCTCTCGGATCACCAGACCCAAATTAAGATAATATTCACTGGGATTAAGTCACTGCTTTCGTGCTCTTCAACATCAAGCTTTTTATATACTCATTCATCTACTCCTTCCGTACGCACGTACGTACTTGTGCTATCACCAAGTTTGCAGTCCACTTGAGTCGATACAGACTGATTCGCGGGGCAACTAACCCAAATCCTGTGCAACTGTAGCGAAAGATGTGGATCACTCTGTTGACCTTTAAGTGCTTTTGCTAATCGAGGTAGAGTATGCATGAACGAGACAAATCAGCCTTGCTTGAATATAGTTTTTTTGCCTATTGTGTATTGTATTGTATTGTATTTCACTCGACCTATGTACCTCTTCCTTTGTTCAATAGACCGTTGTCGAATCCTGTGCCTACAACCCAAGCCCATCGGTGCCAGGTACTACTTTGATCAAGCGTAACGTATCCATCCAGTCCAATCTCAATGCTGTTTTACGGCCAGCGCTTGTGACGTTTTTGATTAGTCGATACCGGTCATCTTCAAAAGCCTCCTTCCTTGGCTTTGAATACATTTGTAAATTCTACGACAAAAACTCCTCACACTTGACATCAAATCTCTCAAGTCGACCCAAGGTTAGTGATGTGATCAAGAATGCTGCTCGCAATCGGAGCAAAGAGTTCGCCGCAAACGCACTGCCGCGTGTAGTAGCCGCTGATTCTGGTCCCCGGAAAGACAACTGAGTGTATCGCTCGATTTCCATAGGTTTCACCTTCCAACCTTGAAGCGCCAAGTGCAGTTATTGCAACCTTCCTGCTCTTGCGCGAATCTGTGCGCTTCCATACTGCGTTTCCGACAGCACTCCCGTTAGACCAAACTTACTGACTCGTGTAAAAACATTTTCTACTTAGGGTTATTTTCCATTTTTCATTCCGCCGGTCTGTTGTTGAAGGATATTTCTTTTTGAAGTTCGGAATAGACGCCCGTGTTATTCATTGTAATTCAATTTATTCTGTTTTCCATGGGCAAATGGTGTTCTGTTGGAGTCGAAACTGAATTCGAAAACATTGATTTAAATTGGTAGCTTTGATAGCCACTCCCAATGCCTTCTGTCGAATGCCAGGTTTTCCCGTTAGCGTTTTTCAAACTCATCTAAAGACTGTCCCCCAAGTGGACTTTTGGCCGTTCCTGATTTCGAACTTCGTTTTTCAGCCGGTCGTATAAGTGCTGTTTTAGGACGCCAATTTCGTTCATCATTTCAGCTAACTTGATCGGCGTCAGACTGCATTCAACTCCAACAGTGTTTGCACTTCAGAGGATTGGTTTTGGAGATTTTGTCACTCCATTTGATCTGAGGGATTTTTTTAAGAGTGCAAATGAAATTAGTCAAGAGCCCGAACGGGAATTCTGTATGCCGCCCAGGTCCCCCTACCATACAGTAGTGAAGATAACAAAACAGCTCGATACATTGCAGTCTTGATGTTTATGGGTAAGTGATGAATACTCCAGAAGCCTTTCTCAAAGGCACCAAATGCCGTGCTAACTTTTACAATCCGTTGTCCAGTGTCGGGTGTGTGTACAGCGTGCTGTCAAGATAGCGGAGGTCCCTGCAGTACGCTATCTCGTCGTGACCTCAGAAAGTGGTCAAGAATGGGCTTCACCTCTCTCCTTGGAACTCAGTTTATTGAGTAAGATCACAGCATTTCCATTAGTGTACAATCATCCGACTGTTCGATTGTGACTGAGATTAGTTCGGCGCCTGATTGGTTCGTTAGCAGCCAAACAGAAAGCCACCATCTTTTCGGAGTGCTTTTGTTGTTTATTTGGGTTGCTAACCAAAACATATAATGCTTCTGATTGCGGAACTGGGAGAACTTAAATTGTGTTGACCATCACATGTATCCTATGCAACACTGAGATAATTGACCGGCGAGCATTGATCCAGATTCAAAAAGTTATTGACCAGTCGCATTGTTTTTTGTAACTTGTTGCAGGCTGTGTCGCCCATTACCTATACACTCACAGCCATTTATTAGAATACGTGGTGTCTTGAGTTGGACCCGCGATGCAGGCTAATAAAATAAAGATGTGTTAGAAATATTTATACTGGAGCCAAAGTGAGGGGTCACTGAACGCCGCAGTCAGACACTGTAATCCTCAACAGAATGCGAAAACAAGGCACAGTCGTCTGAAAACAGCAATTTGCGGGCAATAGACTCGGACAGCAGTGCTTTGGCTAGCAAGTGCTTCAGACTGAATGAATAATCACCCAGGTAGTATTGAATTGGCACGCCAAATTCGCAATGGTGGAACGTCTCTGCGCAAACCGTCGGTAAACGGAGGCTTTAAAGGGCTGGGGCAAAAACATGATCCCGTTTCATTCCGCTGTGAATTAGGAAATCTTTTTAGGTAGGTACGCAGGTTCACACTCGGGCTTCCATCCCAGTTTGAAAAGTCCTGATAATATCGACAAATTTGTCTATATAGCCATGCTTTTTAGGACGATTACTGTGTTTCTCTGTCGAATTCCTTAATGAAGTTTTTTTCAGGTAAACTCAAAATGATTCTGTACAGGGGTTCTTTTTTTGACACCCATTAGCCGCACAACGCTCTCAGCTGCAAAACCTTTGCGAGTGGATTAAAACTTTTTGTGTCAGAGTGTTGCATTTTGTTGCATATTTGCTCAAACCAAAAACCATTTTAATCTTAGTTCATATTTTTGCAGCTCACCAAATTTTATCGTCCACTGAAGCAATCATACCTCTGGCGAAAAAGGCTGGTGGAATAATTTCCCAGGATCGCTGAGCCCCCGGGATGCTTAAATAGGGTTCAGAAGTTTGGACTGGTTCACTGAATTCAACTGCCTGATTGCTTCAGTACATCAAGGACACGTCATAGCTTTCGAAAATTCAATTCGATTGTGCGAATAGTAAGCGCCTCTTTTTTGATTGCTTATTTATACCCTTCCCCAGTTTGTCGTTCTGCTGCTGATGGGTCACGTGACTACATACCCAGACAGCAGACGATAGACCAGCCTCTCAAAAAGGTGTACGTGGTTGGGTGTGGTTGAACGTGTAAGCGTCTCGAATATCGACTTCTTTCGTTCGGCTATGATTTCGAAGGTGCCATTGCCAACACCGCGGCTAACGTAAACGGTTGGAGAGTTTTCGAAACGGATGCTTCCTTTTATTGTCCAGTTCGAAGTGAACATTTGACCTTACAGTTAAATGGACCCGAAATTCCAAGCCTACAGCTTGATAATTTTCCAACCCTGCTTTGTTGATCAATAATTAACCAGGATAAACTATTTGACTGTCTACAAGTAATGAACATGCTTGTCCGTACCAGCAGCTTGTTGGAACAAAATAAATGTTCGAAGTCAGATTCACCAGCTGCGCAATTAGCATCGGCGACCACACGTTTTGTGGGACTTTAAGCCAATGAGTCATATGCTTTAAGTGATGGCCCGCAAAGAGATTACTGAATTCTCTACGACTGATCGTTTAAGGATCCGGTCATACGACTGATAATGAACAGACGATAGCGCTAGAGACCACAGTATATAGCTGGCAGAAGAACTGACCGATAGTGATTGTTGTGACTGAGTCTAGAGATGAATATAACTCAGACGCTTTTGAGCACGTTGGAACATATGGAGGCCCTTATTAGCGCATTTTTCTGCCAGCCCATGGAGGCAACGCAGTCTATACAGAAAATATCCAAGCATTCAATGGGACTGCTGCATATTCTCCCATGTAGAGATTGACAGCTTCTCATCAGTTCCGTTATCATTGGTATAGTGACCTTCACCATCTCCCTATGGAGAGTCTGCCCGCTCCTGGAAATCGCATTTTGTATCTTATGAGTCTCATTGCTTAGCTCGTGATACGTTTTGCACGTTAGTTTCTTCATGAGGACCGTACGTTTTATTGCGTCAATATCACCGCAGCCGCTTTGCTCATCGTGGTATTCGACAGGTGGTACCTGTCACGGTTCAAAACGATCTCTGATTCTAGACAGGATATTTCTCCCGCCAACCCTACCAATTCACTTTCCACAGCTTTATACGTCTAGTGACGTTCACTCGAAACAAACGAGAAGGGAAAGTTTGAAAGATCCATCATAGATAGGATGATGCGCATTAAGACGTTGAAAAACTTTAGAAACTGTGAAAATGGACTGTCTTATCGGTTGCGAAAAAACGGGTTTAGCAGTAAGAGTAAATGAAGCGAACAACTGACCTTATCCTGAATTCAGGAAAACATGAGTGATAGCTCACGGGTAGATGGATAAATCTGTTTGTTGGCTGGTTTGCTGCTCCGTGAAAATATGTCAGCAGAATGAAGGTGGCGAACAGTTTTCACTTTATGTGATTTCCTGCATGTAAGTTAGAGCGCAGTGTTTATTTACGTCGGATATCAGGGTGAGAGCTACGAAAACTAGGCTTTGTTTACTGGATCTGCTGTTTATCTGTTTTTCATTGTACCTAACATCATTGAGATGGTGTGAAATAGCTTAGGTCGGATATATCTCAAAGAAAAGGAAGATCGCACGTTCTCCCCAACTTGATGATCGTGCTGCGTTGCCCAATTTCCATCCACATTTTCGATTGAGCATGCTCCACCTATTCTCGTTAGTTTGCCGAGGAAACACAAACCTTAGACCAACAAGACAAAAGCAGTTACACAGTGGCCAGGAGCACTTGATGTCCTGGTGACATATGAAGCTCCTGCGTGACTTTTGTAATGTACTACTCATAAGGTTGCTGAAAGTCCATCGACAGCCCACGACCGGTTTCGCCCTTCTTGGGGCTCATCAGGTAGGCGCAGTCCCCGGGTTTCCGTCAACCTTATGTTCTACGATATTTCAAATATCGTAGCGACTGAAACATGAGGCGGCCTGGTGCAGCACATTCAGTTTCCTGAGAACATCATAAACGAGAGATTCATCTGGGTTCCAGGTGAGTCTCTCGAACAGAACCAAATAGTTTGCAGATGAGTGTATATTCGCTAGCTCCTGCGTGACTGTTTTGTGAGGATCTATTGTGGTCGAATACAGTCGGTTTCGGTATGTTATCCGAATACGGCAACCGAGAAATTCCAAGGAGCAGGGCACCAAACCACTGGAAGTGATGTGAACATGGGAAATGAGTGGACCAACGGATTTGACAGAGACGGCAGCAAGGGAAGAAATCGACTTAGTGGTCGCCTGGCAGTTCCATATGGTTTGGCTGTGCCCGCTCTCGAAATAGGAATCCGGTAGCCTCGGATCTAACATTGTCAATGTGCTTGTGAAATACCATGCACTCTTTCAGGCAAAATACTGGCTGCAACGGGACAAGCTCCGTTTGAGGTATGCTACTAAAATTTGAAATCGTACAGTTGATTCCCACTTTCTTCAGCCTTAGTTAAATATTTTACCAGCATTCTCTTCACCGTGGATGTAACCGGGGTTCCTTTGTTAAAAGACATTTTATTCCCGTCTAGTGGTTGTGTGATTTACGATGAAATGATATATAACAATTCACATCATTCAGTTCCATATTCATGTTTAAGCTAGTCTTCTTGTTCTTGTACTATTGTGTTCTGGCAACTTACACAGGCGTGGCCTGTCATATCTATCGATCCTGTTGTCTATCGATTACCATGGGTAATTGATTGATGGAGAGGAGGTCGTTGTTAAAAGCTGGAGGGAGGAAGTGAACCGGTGAACCCAGTGACGAAGCGCATAGTGATTAAAACTGCTGTGGAAGTCTTCAGCTAATGGAATGCTAGGGTGAATTGGTGACAACGGAGAATATAAAGATGTCTTGAGGCGATAAAACTGGAGGAATTAAGCGTTCCATTTGTAACGAAGAGGAACCTCTGGTTCCCGAACTTAAAACAAGAAAGGAATAGCGGACAAATTTGGGTATAAACGTGAAAGCAAAAAAGACAATTTTAACCCACTTCATTTGGCCCTCAATGGCTCCAAGAGTCAATCATTCCATAGAGGAGTGGGATTTTGTAAATACTACTGCATCCAAATGGTGCTTAAATCCAAACGCGAAACTCAAACGAGTCTTTGAAATTAACCAACACCGCAACAACCTAAGTCACGCTGGATACATACATAGTTGACACGAACAATCATATTAGTCTGCCAGGCTACTGGCACTTGTCACCAGAAATTGGGAGGCTTACCCTCTTTTTGTCATAATGGTGGCATTGCAGATCAGACCTAATAACCATATTCAAACAAAGGTCAATCAACATCTGAGTGATACGAGTGAGTGCCTCAAACTTATTGGACTTTTCGAATGGGCTCTCCTTGAACAAAGGAACACTTGGTCGTCAAAAGGTTATCCGATACGTTTGTGGGCGAATGCGGTTATTCAGTTTTGTTATTCACCTCGGTTTGCATTAAAGAAAGAGCGGACTGGGCTCGGGTAGAACTCTTGTTCGGTCATATTGGATCTCGGGCTGTGACAGGATTTGGATCTCTGAAGTGTACGAAAACTATCTTTGTAATGCACTGCTCATAAGGTTGCTGAAAATTCATCGACAGCCCAAGACCGGTTTCACCCTTTTTGGGACTCATCATCGTCACAAACGAGAGATTCAGCTGGGTTCCAGGTGAGTCTCTCGAAAAACAAAATTAGTTTGCAAATTAGTGCATGTATGAAAATGCTTCACTATCCTAGCCAGCTCATACCAGACGATTTTCAACACTCGAATGCGTCCACGATTGAACCATGTGTGTGTGTGGCTCTTCCGACGTCTCGAGCGACGACCCACTAGACATCTTGGTTCTGTTGGGCAGCTGACCGTCCTATCAACATTTACCTCATATATATCCTGTGCGGAGATCCTCCTTCGGGGCTACCTGCTTTAATCAAACTTACCGTATTGTTTTGAACATGTAGTGATTCGTGCAGCTTTGCAAACCCATGTGGTGAAATCATCTTGTCTTTTATGGGCGAGTTGAATTTTCTCGGCATCAGTTTAACGTCGTGAAGGATTCTATTGGCATTTGTTCAGTCCACAGTCTCCGCTTCCATAAGATGACCAGGCAGCGCTAAATAAGGGCCAGTCCCTTCAGTTTGTGTATCAGGTGCATCGAGCTTCTTAGTTAATGGTTTATTAGTTTTTCTAGTTAATTCAAAATACACTATATATGCTTTTCTTGTGTGCATTTGAAGGTAGAATTTTAGTTTAACGAAACTTAGCTTCACTATAGAGGTGTTAAGCTGATACGTATTTCAGTTACAAAACAAAACATATTTGACTGGGAATAACGATTGAAGGCAGATGATATTGGTTTTCTTGGTTCAGATCCTTCCCGAATGCAAACGATTTTGAATAAATTAACTAACTCTGCCGCACGGTTTGGCATGCGCTTGACACCTACACAGTGCAAAGTGCCGCTACAAGACGGTGGGTTCAAATCCACGCCTCATGCTTGCTGGTGAGACGATCGACGTGGTGTATAAATTTGTTTACTTGGGCAGCTGTATACATTCCGGTGGACTGGTTGCAGATGAGGTTATTTCTCGGATCGGAAAGGCCAGGAGAGCTTTTTCCAACCTCCGACACCTATGGTGCCGATGTGACGTGAGTTAGTCTCTCAAGAGAAGAGTTTACACTGTGGTGACGGGATTCATACTGCTTTATGGAACGGAGGCGTGGTACCTACGCTCAGAGGATATACAGAAGATGTCAGTGTTCGATCATCGGTGTCTCTGCAGCATTGGTCAGGTTCGGTGGGAACATATGATTGGTAATGCTGAGGTACGCCAGATGGTCTTAGGAAGAAGGAACTCTCCCGCGATAGATGAATTACTGACGCTTCATAGGTTGCACTGGTTGGGTCATGTACTCCGCATGCCAAAAGAACGTCTGCCTTACAGAGGTATTTTCTCCCAGCCCTGTGCTGAGTGGAAGCGATCAAGAGGTGGACGGCGAAGTACGAAAATACTGACCGTTAAACTGAGCCAGGCCGACAACTGCCGCCTTTGATTTGGGTCCCAAGAATCAACTCACTAATGGTTAGTGACACTGGCAAAAATGACCCAATTGTGCATCCAGTTGCTCTCGTGCATTAAAGCTGTCACCTTCAATGCGTAGCTATCCGATTCCCGAACTAAGTGAACAAACCATCACCACCAAGGCGCGGCTGTACGTCCCTCCGGTGATCGAAACTGTAGCAGCTGGAACCAATGTGCTTATGGTACACGGTTTATAGCTGATAAATTTAATTCAACTGAATTGGACAATCACTGATGGGCAACCAAAATGAGCTACCACAGACAATTCGTTAAATTTTACGGGACAGTGATCAGTTACACAGAATGGCGCCACTTTGAAAGCCGGAGAATGACAATGTAGTTGCTCTCCGCGTTATTGATTGGCTGGCTGACTAGGATTAGTGTCACATGACGCAACAACATCCTAGACACCTTGAGAAATATCGCCAGTGTCGGCGGTATCTGTGTCAGCAGGACGTCTGGTCTGTTCGAGTCATGTCACAGCTATGTTTTCTAGCTCAACGAATACCATCAGTGTACTCTCGGATATGTGAACAGTGTAAGTTTTTGGAGCATCTGGCGGTTAGAACACTGAAGATAGAAATTCCAGAGGACAGGTTGGAGCCATGGACGATGACTCATTGCCGTAAGACCTTGTAAGAATACTGATAGCCTCTGATGTATTGAAACACGTATTCGCGATAGTTTGCTAACGTACAACTGCGTAAAAAACCATCAGTTCTGAATGGCCTAGATGATCAGAGATGGTGAAATTTGACAAGATCACCAAGAAGATCTGGTGGTTGTAATTTGAGAGAATGGATGACCATTGAATTCCTGGGGCATTTACCCCAGACATAATGCAAAGTTTTATTTTCTGTCCTTGGAAGCCTTTGAAAAAACATCCTGATGTAGGTGAGATTTCATCATCGGTGCATCTGATACGGTTCTTCCCACGAGGAAACCCCGTCTATCAGACGTGACTGGAACCCCTGATATATTTTTAAACAGGATATTACTTCTTCGTCGATAACACAACAGCAAGAAGAGTAAATCAATGGCATTTTCGGAACGGATTATTCCCATAACTACGGGGCAGTCTATATAGATAGCAAATAAAC